CCAGAAGCACTTCCAGTCCACTTCTGGGTCTGCCAGGGAGCACACCAAGGGGAGGGGGTCCGCATCCCCCTGGCTCAGCGACTGGTGCCTCCTGAGTCTGGGGGGGGCACTTGGGGCCCCCCCCGGCCAATTGCTGAGTGGGGGGGCACAGGGAAGCCCCCCTGCACGCTTGGTGGCAGACCTGGAAGTGGACCAGAAGTACTTCCGGTCCACTTCCAGGCTTTGCTGCTGAGCACGCCAGGGGGGGCCCTGCACTCCTGTGGGACTCTCCATCCACCCCATCATCATCACATTCATCAGCTACACCTGGTACCTCAAAATATGTAGAAAAACCATTTAAAGCTGTGTCTATGGCCAAATTGCTGATTCTCTGAATCAACATTGAATCTTCAGATTTGGATTCAGCCTAATCAAATTGGGACAATGATCCAAATCAGCAGATCGAATCATTGTCCCCAATTCAGGCCAAATCCAAATTGAATATGGCCCGTTTCACACACCCCTACTAATCAGATGCCAAGCCTGTTCTCCTAAATTGGTGATATCCAGTACCTACATTATCTTTACTGTCTGAATCTTGTTGTACCATAGTTAACTTGTTTTAAATCAGTTATCATGTCCAGAAATAAGAAACTCAGGAGACAGGGCTTATCACTACTCCAAGCCTACTAAATTCTTCCTAGCCATATATCAGTCCTCTCTTGTTACTTTCAGTATTGCCCCTGCTGTGCCAACCCAACTTGTGCTCAATCAGTCTCACATTCTCTCTTCAAGAGGCTTTCCTGATTGAATCCTTCCAAGCCTATCTAACAAGGCCAACACATTACCTGAATATGCAGTGTCCAAACCTTTAACACATAAGGTTATCTGTGCCTGTGTGGGGCTTATAGAGGGTCTGCTTCAGCCACAAGGATGCAGTAAATCAGGCTCAGACAGAAGCATGACAAAGCTGCTGACGTGCCTTCCATATCAGTCTTCATTGATCGTAATTTACTTTCAGCTACATATATATTAGTTTTGCTTATTACTTTCTCAAATACATAGTCATCTCTTGCAGTAAATGATCTTAAGAGACTGAGTGTCATGTTAAGTCGTATCAACCCTAGCATTCATTAGCAGAGCCTGGTTTAAATTGAAATTTTTCAGTTTTTGTGAAAATCAAAAAATTAAGTGTTTTTCACAAGAAATGTGATTTGGGCATGCTCTGATCAGCAGAAGGGAGAGAAGCCAGTGCCACAGTGGGGTGGGGTGTGCTCTTGGTCAGCACCTTGATGCATAGCCTCTGGGCTAGGCAGTGGCTGCAACATGCTGTGGAGGGAGCAGGGTAGTAAGGGGCTGTGGCCCTGCATTGCAGAGGGGCATCAGGTGGCAGAGTTCCTGGGTGGACAGCTGCTCACCTGCAGGGCTGCTCTCCAGCTCAGACCTAGCTGAAGCCACGTCTCTCCATGTGTCTGCAACGGGCAGGGCTAGGGGCTTCTCACTCTGCTGCAGAAGCCATCAGCCAGCTAACCTTCTGCAGCTGCTTCCTCCAGAGCAGGCTGGATCCTGACTAGGCTTTGTCGTTTCCTCCCTCAGTCCCCTCTCCCAACTCCCCTCGCGCACACACATACATACACACTGCACCAGAGCTAAGGGATAACTAAGGGATGGCTTTGCGCTTGATCTCTGGGCTTAAATTTCCATGTGGTAGCCAGTGGGGCCATTACTGCTTGGGTTCTATAGAGTCTCTCCCTCCCCTCCTCTTTCCTCCCCTCATAACACAAGGACTGTGAAAATGGCACCCCCAGCCATGATCAGGCCATGATATTAGTGAGCTGAACCTGCAATTTACACCAGGCCCATCAGGGTGAGCAATGATTCTTTTCTGTGCTCTGGACAAAGATAACACATTTCCCCTAAAAACTGTCTTTTTAAAGTGATTTACAATTGTGACATTTCAAATATTAGGGAAATATTTCCCCATGTGACCTTAATAATTTGACTTAACCCTGATGGGGAGAGATCCCATGCAGGCTGTGAGAGAACAGATTATTCTCCATCTCCGGAATTTTGAGACTGCCAAGATTTTGTGATGAGAAGTGAGAACTAAATGAGCCTCTAAGGCAGTGGTTCTCAACCTTTTCAGAGTCAAGGCACCCTCTGTCAGACTTGGCACCAGTCCATAATTTTTATGAATTCTGTGGCACCCCCTTTCAAAAACTACTTCATTAATTACAAACAAGCCTTATCTCCTTGCAGAGGGGGCAGGTAGTGGTGGTGAGGGAGCAACCAGGCAGGGAGAGTCTAAGCTTAACCTTCTATGTTCATCTCATGACACATGCAGCCTGAACCTGCCTTTATTGCTTATCTCCCCACACCTTGCTTATCTTCTCATGCTTCTGCTGTGCCCTTCAAAGGATTTCATGGCACCCCAGGGTGTCCCAGCACCCTGCTAATCACCGTTCTAAGGCCAAGTCTTTAGTTGGTGTAGATTGGCATAGCTACCTAGCTCTGGGTCTCGGCTTTCCAATAAAGAGGCAATTTTCTTGGCCAAAAGGTTAGGTTTGCCTTAGCCTTTATTCCAGAAAAGCCATCATAGAAGAAAAAGGTGAGGGTTTTGTCCTAATCACAGTTTCAGGGCCTTCCCAACAGACATCCTCCTGCAAACACTTACCTATGTGAATAAATTTAGCCTTTTGACCATTCTTGGGCACAAGATTATTCATGTGCATGTGTTTAGAATACCAGAGATCAATGATGCATTCCTGGAGTTTTACATTATGTGTATTCAATTGTGTCCCAAAAACCCAGGCATGGAAGATAATATTTTTCTGCTTATTTTTTCAGGGACTGCATTATGCTCTGCTGTTTGAACAGTGGCACAAGTTTTGTTGCTGGTTTTGCCATCTTTTCTGTCCTTGGTTTTATGGCTTATGAACAAGGGGTGCCCATTGCAGAAGTAGCAGAATCAGGTAAATTCCAAAAACAGATTTAGGACAGTTAATTACCATGTTCAACTGTTGATGACAAAAGAGTTTGTGTGGTTGCTCACTCTCCATACTTATTAAGTTGGTATTGATCTAGACTGCTTTACATATGGTTCAGAAAAATAGTGTTAAATAAGAACGGTCTCACTGATTACAATGACTGCTATATACACATTCTGTTCTTGATACTGTAACTCAGGCAGCGGTACTACCTGCAGCCACGTCCAAATTTTTGGGATCCTGGGGTGCCAAAAGGCCTTGGTCAACACCCAGTCTGTCTACAAGCTGGGAGCCACCACTCAGTGGAGTGCTCTCCCATGGTTCTCCCCATGCCAGACCACACACTAAATGACTATTTACAATAATGTATTATTTACAATAGTAACAGAAAATTAACAGGTTCACTATCACATAAATAACAAACAAATATTTTCAATAAGCTCAATAATAATCTGCACTCACAAATAAAAGAAAGTACTCATTATATAGGAAAAGAATTATCTTAACGACTTTAACACTCAGGCAGCTTGTAACAGGTATATGCACCTAATCAGCGAGAACTCCACAGAATCACTCTGACAACTGCAAAATAACCCCCTGTGTAATGGCTACGGTTGAACACCAGGTGGAGCTGTGCTGGGTCTGCCTCAGAAAAGGTGTTGCAATTCCAGCATCTGGTCAGCAGACGGGTCCTCTGTCAGGACTTCAGGAGCAGCTGCTCCGGAGACGGGGGGTTCTTTCCCCAGCAGTATTTCCTTGGTGACTGCAAACAATCACACCATCCCCAGATGCTTCCCCGAAGCAGCTTCCCTGTGTTTGGCACCTGGAGTGCCCCTTTTGGGCTCTGCTTTATTGAGCTCTCTGCTGGAGGTCCCACAAGGCTGTGATTTCCCCTTACTTTCTTTAGCTCTCCTAGGGAACCTTACCTATCTCCCCCTTTCCCTGATTCCCTCCCAGTGTGTCTCTGCACCCTGGGAACTAAAGTGGGGGTGCAGTTTGCACAAACCCTGCTCCGTTAGCAAAGGATACCAAGTGATCCTGGGCAGACAGTAGTTTACAGCTCTTTAGTCCTCTGCAGCAACTCTCATAGGAGCGGTTCAATCACCAGCAACCCCTTCTGGCAGCTCTCTTACAAGCAATTCTCCTAGCAGCAGACCCTTGGCAGTGCTCTCTTAGAAGCAATCCTTCTGGCAGCAGTTCCCAACTCCCTTCTCTCCAGCTGCTCTTTTCCCTTTTTCCTGGGCTTCCCATCCTGGAGTTGCAGCTGTCCTATTGCGTGCATACATTCTGCAGCCTTCAGCTCCAACCTGGTTATCTTGCTGCTATATCTGTGTGCACAGCCTGCTGCAAATCCATGCCTCAACAGTACAAACACCCTGATTGGCCTTGCAAACCCTGAGCAAGCCCTTCAGCACCTTTACAATACATTTATGGTCCCACATTTACACGTGAATAATACCAATGTCATCATGCAAAGCAGCATAATCCATAAAATTAAGAAGCCAGACCCAGAAAAGGATGTGTTTTGCCACAAAACTGTCTACTAAACAGCCAAGGATTTTGTTTGGTGGAGCTGTACAGGTGAGATTGTTCTCCACAAACCTTACACATAGGAATTATTCAGATGCTTTTTAAATTAAATGGACCAAATTGTCAGCTGTTTGCTTCCTCCAATAAAAGAATAAACTCCACAGTCTTACAGGTAGGAATTATTCAGATGCCTTTTAAATTAAATTGACCGTATTGTCAACTGTTTGCTTCCTTCAATAAAAAAATAAACTCTACAGTCATCAAAAGGAAAACACACCAGAGCCTCAGTTGGTGCCTAGTGATAGGTTAATGGAATGAAAGTACCACTGGAAATTATAGGACCCTGTTAAATGTGAAAGCTGTAATATGCTTATAGCACTGACACATCCCCATTACCTATCATGCAATCATGGCAGGACTACAGTAAGACACTTTACCTAGATGGTTTAGACATAGGTGATCCTGCCTGGATTAGATGACCTCATGAGGTTTGTTCCATGATCCTAATAGCTTCCGTGTCAGCCTTGTCAGTTCAGATCTTTCACACCCATTAGAGAGGACTAATAGGCTGTACTAGGGGGACGGTGACAAAGATCAGAGAGCCCCTGCATGGGGACAGACTGCAGCCTGCACTTTGTGCCTGTGTCTCTTTCACACTACAAGGTGTGAGAATGGAGCCTGATCCCTCTCCCTAAGACAGAAAAAAAAGGAGAGGAGTCCCCATCCTGCCCAAGGACAGATAAAGTCAAAGGAGAGACTGTGTGCATTGTATCAAGGGGGACACAGCCTAAAATTACATTACTGCTGCAAAGGCTATAATACAGGTGGCTCTGCTAGGAAAATCTGACTAGAAAGTGAGGCAGGGGCCTCACTGCTTCAGAAGGTTTAAGTCCCAGATGGCTTTGGGCTTTTCAAAAAGAACACAAGAATACCAGAAAAATGCCCTTGTCTTTGCCATGGGAAAGGCAGTGGATGATATTCTATGTGCCTTTCACCTCACTGAAAAGCAAAATACAGACTATAAAAAATTGAAAACGTTTTTTAATACTCATTTGATAGGTAAACAGAATGTTATATGTGAAAGGGCCAAATTTAGTATGCCAGGAACCAAGGGAAACTGCAGGTCACACTCTAGCTGAACACTGCAATTATGAGGTTGGGGTGGGGGAGAAACTCATAAGAGACAGGATTGTTGTGGACATCAGAGACACAAGTTTATCAACACAACAGCGGTTAAATCAGAACTCACATGAGTAAAATTCTTAACAAAATTAAGATGCAAGAAACAGTAGTATAATTTAGGAGCTAACAGTATATCTAAAACTGCAAATGTCAGATAAAATTCTACATTAGAAATTTGTGGTAATTCCCAAGAAAGCAGGTTGTGACAGAATTTTCCCTCTTTTCTCCAATCTATGTGATACAAGAGTTGATAGTTCTCCTACTGGGATTGCCAGCAATGCAAGGACTCTTTCATGCCCATAGGAAGGTAACTTCAGACCCTGTTACCAATACAGCTTAAATCTACATGGCCCAACCTGAAGGAATTTAAGAATCAAGGTGCTGAACTAAAACTTAATTAGCAAAAAAATGTCCATACTGGGCGTAGAGCAAAACCACTACCAGAGCTTCTGCTGAGGGACAATGATTTTAATATTATAAAAACCTTAGTCTGTCTGTCTGTCCCTCTGTTATTCACACTCTGATTGGTTATCTCGGTAGCCAACCACAATGCTTACTGAAACAACCGATCAGAGTGCTCTGCACAGAGAAAAGCACCACCATGACAGCAGGGACTGAAGGGCCAGAGCAGGGGGATGAGGCCAGCGGTGCTGTCCTTGTCCCCCCACCCCCCACCCCTTAGAGGCAGAAGGGTACGGCAGGGACAGTGCTCCCATGACAATCGGGTCTGAAGGGCCGGAGCAGGGGGGCCAATGCCACTGGTCTCATCCCCCCACCCCCGGTCCCTCAATCCCTGCTGTCATGGCAGCTCTGTCTCCATCATCCCCCAGCAAGGCTGGAGTCTGGGGTAGGGGGCAAGGATAGCAGCACTGGCCTTACCCCACTCCCTGGCCCTGCTCCTTGGAGGCAGAGGGGGACGGGGGGGGGGAAACACGCCTGGACCTAGTGGTGGGGGAAGGGGAAGCGGGGGGGAACAGGGCCGGGTGACAAGTGAGGGCAGGGGCCAGATGCAGAGACAGAAGGGGACGGTGGGGACGGCACCACCATGACTGCTGGCCTCATACCACTCCCCCCAGTCCCTCAGTCCCCACTGTCCCCCTTTGCCTCCAAGGACCAGGGCCACAATGGGTAGGGTAAGTTGAATGCCACTGGCCTCGGCCCCCGGCTCTGGCCCCTCAGTCCCCGCTGTCATGGCAGTGCCATCCCCGCTGTCCCCCAGCAGGGCTGAAATGGGGCGATGAGGGCAGCACCACTGTCCTCACCTGCCTCCCTGGCCCTGCTCCTTGGAGGCAGAGGGGGACGGAGGCAGAGGAAAACGAGCCTGAACCAGATACAGCAAAATTCCATACCATTGAACATGCTCAGCATATATTAAAGACTAGCCAATTCCTCTAGACTGATGGAGGGGATGGGGGAATGGGGCCAGAGGCAGAGCAGCAGCAACACAGGGCATTGGGTGGTGCTGCTCCAACACCACCCACTCTTCCTCCCCCCCCCACTACCCATCATTCTTGACGGGCAATTGGCTAATAGAATCATAAGAAGTTAGGGTTGGAAGTGACCTCAGGAGGTCATCTAGTCCAGCCCCCTGCTCAAACTAGGGTCATTCCCAACTAGATCATCCTAGCCAAAGCTGTTTCTAGCCGGGTTTTGAAAACAGCCAAGGATGGAGCTTCTATCATCTCTCTAGGTAACCTGTTCCAGTGTTTTACTACCCTCCTAGTCAGAAAATTCTTTCTAATATCTAACCTAAACTTCCCGTGCTGCAACTTGAAACCGTTGGTCCTTGTTCTGTCATCTACCACCACGGAGAACAGTTTTGCTCTATCCTCTTTCGAACTCCACTTCAGGTAGTTGAATGCTGCTATTAAATCCCACCTCAGTCTTCTCTTCTCTAAACTAAATAAGCCCAGTTCCCTCAGTCTTTCCTCGTAAGTCATGTGCCCCAGCCCCCTCACCATTTTTGTTGTCCTCCACTGGACTCTCTCTGATTTGTCCACAACTTTTCTGTAGTGGGGGCCCAAAAGTACTCCAGCTGTTGCCTCACCAGTGCTGAATAGAGGGGAATAACCACTTCGCTTGACCTACTGGCAACACACCTACCAATGCAGCCCAGTATGCCATTAGTCTTCTTGGCAATGAGGGCCACTGCTGGCTCACATTCAGCTTATTGTCCACTGAACCCCAGATCCTTTTCTGCAGAGCTGCTGCCCAGTCAGTCAGCCCCCAGCCTGTACCAGTGCATGGGACTGTTCCGTCCTAAGTGCAGGGCT